GATATTCTTATAATCATCTTAGAAAATAATCTGCCACATTTTCTTTCCATATTTCTCTCCCACTTTCCTTTTCTTCTTGCCCTCTGCTTCCTCCTCTTGTCATTTTCCTTCCCCATTTCCCCATTCTTCCTAACATTCCTTAGACCTGTTCAGTTAACATTGATTGAGTATATGCAATGAGATATGTCAGGTCCACAGGTACAGGTAACACCTACTTCCTTTTCTGCATCCTGCTCTCTTTCCCAGGTATGACCATCCCAGCTTAGAGACCATGGCTAGATTGTAATGAGTCCTGCCTGTGGGGCTAGGTAGATCCAGGCTCACAGCCCTGGCTTTAGCCCCCGTACTGCCATTTACTAGTTGAGTTACATTCATTCATTCAATAAAAATGTCAGGAATACAACAAAAAACAAGACATAACCGTTAAGAAGCTCATGGTAAGGACATCTTAGGCAACCCAGTAGTCTCAGGTTCCTCCTAGGTAAATGGGGATATCTTGCAGGATGGTAGTAAGGATTAAAATCTAATCTAATAATAGACAAACATGGTAATTGACCGTACCTTCGCTACGCTTCCCATTGGCTAATCAGCAGGATATGCAAATTAACCCAACAAAGATGGCGGCCGGCAGCCACGCAGCGGAAGCGAGCAGGAGGCTTGCTTGCTCCAGTGATGGAGGAAGCCAAGGTTCCCTGCCTGCCGCGGCCCCGACTCTGAGCTCCACTCTAAGCAACAAAGTTGCAATTATAGAAGCTAAACAAACCCCAGATGCCTGCTTTCAGCAGGCCCTGGCCTCGGAGCTGGAGCGGCAACAAAGTTTCAATTATAGAAGGTAAATAAATCCCAGAATAAAAAAAGAAAGAAAAAAAGGAGAGGCTGGGAGCTTCTGTCGCTGGCTTGGCCAGCCTGAAAACAGCCCTTAGCCCCTCATCCAGACTGGCCAGGCACCCCAGTGGGGACCCTCACCCTAAAGGGGGTGTGGCCAGCCTGAAAACAGCCATCAGCCCCTCACCCAGGCTGGCCAGGCACCCAAGCGGGACCCCCACCCTGATCCGGGACACCCTTCAGGGCAAACCAGCTGGCCCCCACCTGTGCACCAGGCCTCTATCCTATATAGTAAAAGGGTAATATGCAAACTGACCCTAACAGCAGAAAGACTGGGAATGACTGGTCACTATGACACACACTGACCACCAGGGGGCAGACGCTCAATGCAGGAGCTGCCCTCTGGTGGTCAATGAGCTCCCACATGGAGGAGCTCTGTTCAGCCACAAGCCAGGCTAATGGCTGCCAGTACAGCGGTGGTGGTGGGAGCCTCTCCCAACTCCTCAGCAGTGCTAAGAATGTCCGACTGCAGCTTAGGTCTGCTCCCCGCTGGCAAGTGGACATCCCCTGAGGGCTGCCGGGCTGCCAGAGGGATGTCTGATTGCCAGCTTAGGCCCAATCCCCCAAGGAGCAGTCCTAAGCCAGCAGGTGGTCATCCCTCGAGGGGTCCCATACTGTGAGAGACCACAGGCCAGGCTGAGGGACACCCCCCCCCCCAGTGCACAAATTTTTGTGCACCAAGCCTCTAGTAATATATAAAAAGCATGTAATAGGTACTCAAAATGGTACCTACTAATTCATTGTAGAACTGTTTACCATAGCAAAAGACTGGAAAGAACCGAACTGTTTATCAATAAGGGACTGGTTGAAGAAACAATGGCACATCCACACCATTGAGTAACATACAACTGTAAAGAGGAAGCAGAAATATATGTATACACTGCTATGGAGTGCTCCCAGATACATTGTTAAATAAAACAAGCAAGATGTGGGAGTGGGGTGGGGGTGGAGTAGAATAGGTGAAGCACAAGGGATTTTTGTAGGGCTTAGAAACTATTCTCTATGATAGTTTATGTGTGACACTGCGCATTTTGCCAAAACTTACAGAACTTTACGTTAGAACTTTAATGGTACTTAAATTTTTAAAAATCATTTATGAGGTCAAGAGATCCCAGACAGAATGGGGACTTTGACAACAGATTCTAACCAATGAAATAATCTCTCTGAAAGGGGTGGGGAGAAAAGGTGCCAATCCTATTTAAGTAACTCTGGAATTGAGTGAACTCTGTAAGACTAAAGTCAAAAGACCTCCATAAGCAGTCCACTCTAGTTGTTAAAAGATGTTTCCTGCAGGTGTATGAGCTAACAATTATGAAGCCACCATACATGTATCCTGGAAATGATAGTTAAGTAAATGAATGGTTGATAGTGAGAGCCAGGTTCACTCTTGGAGTGCAAGGCTTCAGATAAGCAAGGGGATGACTGGAATGATCCAGGTGGCAGCTGGTACTGCATTGGAGTTGTAAAGCGTCAGTATGCATACATTTAGCTTACACATTGAAATAGATAGCTGTATATATGTATGTATGTATTTATATGTATGTATGTTATTACATACATATAAATATTCATAGATATGTGGATATAGAGGGGTTAGTATTCATTCACACATATTTTTCCTTGCTCTGTCAGCTGAGAGAGCCTAGAAGCAACAACATTCCATTACCAGCAAGCATACCTAGTGCCCAGATCTTGGTTTCTAATACCATCTATATAATAAAAGCCTAAGCGACCATTACGGCAGAATGACCAGAACTACCGGTCGCTATGATACACACTGACCACCAGGGGGCAGACGCTCAATGCAGAAGCTGTCCCCTGGTGATCAGTGTGCTCCCACAGGGGGAGCGCTGCTCAACCAGAAGCCAGGCTCACAGCTGGCAAGCACAGCGGCAGTGGCAGGAGCCTGTCCCACCTCCACGGCAGCACTAAGGAGCAGCAAGCAGGCGGGCAGTTATGGTACCCACCAATTTTCCTAACCCTTTGTGACATCACAGGCCGAAATTCTTGATCTGACAATGCCACACAGATAACAAGCTCCATGGTTGTAGCCATGGTTAGGAAATTAGGTTCTGGAAACGGACTTCATTTGGAATCCTACTCCACCATTTAATTTTTACTTTGAGAAGACTTCTAAACCTCTCTGTGCCTCTTTTCCCACCATCCCTAAAATAGGAATTATAATTGTAACCACTATCATATTGTTTGTGAGTGGCAAGCAAATAAGATAATGTAGGGAGGTTGGTCCAGTTCTTGGCACTTAGCTCTCAATAAATGTTAGCTATTTACTATTATACTTTGTATAATTTATTTAATATATGTCTTTCCTCTCAACAGAATTTAAGAAAATCATTAACCAGGTATTGGAAAATTGAAAAGGCAAGAGGAGACATTGAATTATCACAGAGGTACTCACTATAGGGAGCAGTTACCACATTATATTGGAGAATCAAAGGAAGGACTTTGAGGGTTTTTGTTTTTGTTTTTTCAATTAACAGCTTTATGCCCTAGCCAGTTTTGCTCAGTGGTTAGAGCGTCGGCCTGCGGACTGATGGGCCGTGAGTCCAGTCAAGGGCAGGTACCTCGGCTGCAGGCTCAATCCCCAGTGCTGGTGGGGTGGGGGAGGGTCGCATGTGGGAGGCAACCAATCAATGTGTCTCTCACATCAATGTTTCTCTGTCCCCCTCCCACTCTCTCTAAAAATCAATAGAAAAATACCTTTATGTGAGGATTAACAAAACACACACACACACAAAAATAACAGGTTTATTAAGGATAATTTACATACCATAAAATTCACCCATTGGAAGTGTATGTATGTTTCAGTGACTTTTTAGTAAACGTATACAACCATGCAATCATAACTACAATCCAGTTTTAGAAAATTTCTAGCACTTTCCAAAATTCTTTCAAGTCTATTTGCACTCCATCATGGCTCCCACACCTAAGCCTCAAGTAACCGATTTCTTACTTTGTTTTGCTAATTCTCCCTTGAATATATATTTTCCATTTATTTTTAGAGAGTGGAAGAAAGGGGAAGGGGGGTGAAGAGAGTTCGAGAGAAACATTATGTAAGAGTTGCCTCCTGCGCCTCCACCGGGGCCAGGATCAAACACGCAACCCAGGTATGTGCCCTTGATGGGGATCAACACACTACCCTTCCCGTGCTGGCTAACCTCCAACCACTGAGCAACACTGGCCAGAAATCTGGATAGATTTGCCTAGTGTGAGTTTTATTTAAAAAGAAGAAGAAATCCGGTAGTAAAAGGAAGTCATGCACAATATATACTACTTAGGACAGTGATGGCGAACCTATGAACTCATTTTTTTTGGTTGATTTTCCTTTGTTAAATGCCATTTAAATATATAAAATAAATATCAAAAATATAAATCTTTGTTTTACTATGGTTGCAAAGATCAAAAAATTTCTATATGTGACAGGGCACCAGAGTTAAGTTAGGGTTTTTCAAAATGCTGACACGCCAAGCTCAAAAGGTTCGCCATCACTGACTTAGGAACAGACTTAACGTTTTAAAATTATCACAAGTTTAACGTTAAAAGTTGGTTACAGTTTTATGGAAATCATCATGAAGCAAAATGTTTAAAAAAAAAAAAGCCGCAGCCGCTTTGGCTAGGGATAGAGCATTGGCCTGCGGACTGAAGGGTCCGAGTTGATTCCGATCAAGGGCACATGCCCAGGTTGCTGCTGGATCCCTAGTAGGGCTTGCAGGAGGCAGCCTATCAATGGCTCTCATGGTTGATGTTTCTCTCTCCCTCTCCCTTCCTCTCTGAAATCAATAAAAATATATATATTTAAAAAAAAGAGAGAGAAAGGAAAGGTGAGAAGAGGTTTTAGTTCAATGGGGCTAGAACGGGGGGGGGGGGGGGATGGTACTAGAAAGGGCGAGGAGGGTGCGCCTCCAGAGTTAGGTGACCCACACCCCCCGGCACTCGGGGCGCACTGCGGGAGTCGGCCGTCCTCCCGCGCAGGCGCAGTGGCTCCGCTGGCGGCGGGGGCGGGGCGTGGCGGGGCGGGGGAGGGGGCGGGCGGGGCAAGAGTTCGCGCCCATCGCGAGCGCAGAGCGATTGCTTCTGTCTGTTGTGTGGCTATGTTGTCAGAGAAGCGGCGAGGCGGCCGGAACCTGGCCGGGGGCTGGCTGTGTGCAGACGGCGAGCCGGGGCCGAGGGCCATGGGGGACCCCGGCTCCCGGGCTCGGCGGGAGCGCCCCGGGGGCCGCAGCTGGTGCCTGCGGCGCGTGGGCATGGACGCCGAGTGGCTGCTGCTGGAGGATGGGAGCGAGGTGCGCGGGCCGCGGGGAGCGCAGGGAGCCGCGGATGAATGGGAAGAGGTGGGAGCGGGCGGGGAGAGGCGCGCAGGGCTGGAGGGGAGACCCGGGCTGGGTGCGTGCGCCGGGCGGCGGCTGAGGGGAAAGTGGGGACCCCGAGGGGGGAAGGGCCGGAGGCGAGCCGGGAGCCAGGCCGGGAGGAGGCGGGCAGGTGGGTGCAGAGGACGTGAGGACCCGCTGGGTTTGGGGAAGGAGGCGACTTGTGGGGGGACGGGCAGCCCCAGTTTGGGTCGCGCGGAGCCCGGCGCGGGCGCCGGAACCGTGAGCCCAACTTGCGCGGAGAGCGTGAACTTTCTCTAGTTTATTTGAAAACAGTTGCGAGTTTTGAGTCAAATTGCTCAAACTTTAATGTGAAAAAGCCTTCTTTTCTAACTCCTGGGGGGAATGGGCGCGGTGGGGCGGGCCACGTTTCTCCTGCGAGCTCGGTGCTGCCGACGGGACCCCCGAGCTGGGTCGGGGCCGGGATTGGAAACAGCCGAGGCTCTGATGCCGTTCCCCAGTGCGGCCATAAAGGCAGAAATCCCCGAGGGGAGGCGGGCGTTCCTCCCAGAGGCCGTTTGGAATGTGGGGTTCTAAGGAGGGGGAGAGAGAGGGAGGAGGGAGCCGGAGCGGGACCCGCTGTCGGGACTGGAACCTTTGAGTCTCGGAACAATTTGTAGGAAAGACAAAGCAGTCTTTCATCATATGTATGATGTTTAATTAGATTTTCCTATCAACTATATAGTCTCAACTCGGTCCTCCAGGTACTTACTGAGTGCTTACATTGTGTGGTGTATTATAAAGGAGCCAAACAATAAGGACTCTGCTCTCAAGGAGTCTGTGGCTGAACAGGAAAAAGGATTTTATACTGTGCACAGTCAGCAGCCTGAGGACATTGAGGCAGGCATGGATGATCGAGTGCCAAGAGGAGGATTGTTTAGTGCTGTCTTGGAGCAATGGCTCCTCAATTCAGAGCAGGGATTCAGGTCCAGCCTTAAATGCTGCTGGGTTAGGGTTCTAAAGGGTTCCTTGTATGCTGTGATTTGGAGAACATCGGGAAGACACTTCTGCCCCCAGATCCCTCTTCTCTCCAGGTGTCATTACCCAAAGTCCACCTTAGGCATTCATTCTTTTAGAGAATGCACATTTCCCTTTCCCCGCACTGCCCTTTCCAAAATCATACGCCTTTGGGAAGTTTCACAAATGAAGATTCCAACACCTGAATAATAACTATATTTGCATAGGGTTGGGGCTTTCACATAATTACCTAATCTGAGCCCTACACGTGTACTAGGCACCCACACACAACTCTATGCAGTGGTTCTCAACCTTCTGGCCCTTTAAATACAGTTCCTCATGTTGTGACCCAACCATAAAATTATTTTCGTTGCTACTTCATAACTGTAATGTTGCTACTGTTGTGAATCATAATGTAAATATCTGATATGCAGGATGGTCACCCCTGTGAAAGGGTCGTTCGACTGCCAAAGGGGTCTCGACCCACAGGTTGAGAGCCACTGCATAAAGTACTCAGAAGTCAAGTGTTAACTCAATCTTCAGATTAAATTGCTGTGGATTAATTTATTACTTCTGAATAGCTTAGTAATACTGGGAGTCTTGATGAGGAGAGGGGAAGACAGAAAGAATTAAAATACCTGCAGCCAGGGCAAAAGAACTAAAAAGCATTCCTATCCATATTTTAAACTGTTGGATAATTTTGTGTGGGGTCGCTTCTCTGAGGAGAGGCCCACAGATGCCAGAGTGAATGGTGAAAACGAAAGCACGTAGGAGGATTGGCTTGTCTCACAGTCCTGTGTGGTGGAGAGGCCTGCCAGGCCTGGATGTATTCAAGGTTGGGGTGTCTTAGGAAGTAGTTGGAGCATAGCCTGCAGTATGTATGAAGAGAGACCTGAGTGAAAGACAAGAGATGAAGTCTTACTTATTGAAATGGTCCCAAACCATAGCACAAGCTGATGTGCACATGGCTTTAAGAGGTATGCTGATATCATCCTATCTAATAAAAGAGAAACATAGTAATTAGCCGTACCTCTGCTACCCTTCCCATTGGCTAATCAGGGTGATATGCAAATTAACTGCCAGCCAAGATGGCGGCCGGCAGCCAGGCAGCTTGAAGCTAACAGGAGGCTTGCTTGCTCCAGTGACAGAGGAAGCCAACGTTCCCCGCCTGCGCTGCCGGCCTCTGAGCTTGCAGTTTGAAACATTGTTACAAATATAGAAGCTAAACAAAACCCCAGAAACCTGCTTTCAGCCAGCTGGGATCTCAGAGCTGGAGTTGAAACAGTGTTTCGATTATAGAACCCAAACAAACCAGATACCTGCTTTCAGCAGCCGAGGCCTCAGAGCTGGAGCCAAGCCTCAGAGCTAAAGCTGGCCCAGAATAAAAGAAAAAAGAAAAAAAGGAGCGGTTGGGAGCTTCAGTCACCCACCAGCCTGAAAACGGCCCTCAGCCCCTCACCCAGACTGGCCAGGCACCCCAGTGAGGACCCCCACCCTGAAGGGGGTGTGACCAGCTGCAAACAGCCATCATCCCCTCATCCAGGCTGGCCAGGCACCCAAGCGGGACCCCCACCCTGATCCAGGACACCTTTCAGGGCAAACCAGCCGGCCCCCACCTGTGCACCAGGGCCTCTATCCTATATAGTAAAAGGGTAATATGCCTCCCAGCACTGGAAATCAGCGAGGCCTCGCGCACCGGGATCAGCATGACAGGGGGCAGCGCCAAACCCCCTGATCGCCCTTGCGCTGTGTGTGTGACAGGGGGCGGGGGCCACAACCCTCTCTATCCCGCCCTGCTCTGTTCGAGACAGGGGAAGGCGCCCCAACCCCCCTGATCGGCCCTGCTCTGTGCGTGACAGGGGGTGGTGCCGCAACCTCCCCATTGACCCTGCCTTGAGTGTGATGGGGCGGGTGCCCCAACCCCCCAATTGGCCCTACCCTGAGCGTGACTAGGGGTGGCATCGCAACCTCCCTATACGCCCTGCTCTGTGCATGACAGGGGGCGGCGCCCAACTCTCCAGTCGGCCCTGCACTGAGCCCGACCAGGGGCTGCACCTAGGGATTGGGCCTGCCCTCTGCCACCCGGGAGCAGGCCTAAGCCAGCAGGTCATTATCTTCGAGGGGTCCCAGACTGCGAGAGGGCACAGGCCGGGCTGAGGGACCCCCCCCTCCCCCCTAGTGCACAAATTTTTGTGCACCGGGCCTCTAGTCCTATCTAATAATAGACAAACATGGTAATTGACTGTACCTTCGCTACGACTCCCATCGGCTAATCAGTGGGATATGCAAATTAACCGCCAACAAAGATGGCGGTTAATTTGCATACATAGGTGTGAAGCGGTGGAGCGAAGACTGAAGGCGGCTCCGGCCGGAGCAGCGCAGGCTTTGAAGGCGGCTTTGGCCAGAGCAGCAAAGACTGAAGGTGGCTCTGGCCGGAGCGAAAGCCTGGGTCCCGGGTGCTGGAGGAAAACAGGTGCCAGCAGCCAGGGAAAGGGAAGGCCTATTGCATGAATCTTTTCGTGCAACAGGCCTCTAGTTTAATTATAACAGCTGTGTAAGGTCAATTTCCTGCCTTCCTAGTTCACTTCATAGTCTCAGATTTCTCAGATCAAATGATAAAACAAGGTTCCTCTCATTTCACTGTAGGGAATACTGTAGTAAACTGTCTGCCTGAATGTATGTCTTTAAATTTCTTAAACCAGGGCATTTTTTGAAAAAACAAGTTAGATTTATTGCAAATTATCTAGTTTTCTGGTCATATAAGTATGTAGGCCTTTGGGGAAAGTCATAATATCTTCATTTTTTCCTTGTTCTTTCTTGTGTTTCTCTCTGTCTTTCCCTCTCTCTTCCACTCTTGTGCACTGAGAGGGTTGGAAAGGGGAAAGAAAGGATGGTTCTAGAATACATGCTGGTCATCTGGTAAACAGGAGCCATTCCCAGGAGGAAAGGGATAGGATTGGTGAAGGTGGGTAAGGACAAGATAATCTTGTAGACCAATGATCTCAGTAAGTTCAAAGCTTTGCAAAACTATTGTACAGCAAATAGAAACAACCCTAACATAGGAGTTGGTAGTTTGTTGGCATTCAGTTCCCACAGGAAATTAAGTTTTGTGTTAACAAATGATGCCGAGATATCCAGATAAGCTCACTGCAGGGTGCTGAGCCATGGGTTATTAATGTAAATTTTAGGGCCAGTGAAGAGAAGGACCAAAAAGAGTGTTTCCACCCTAGCTGGTGTAGCTCAGTGGGTAGAGCATGGCCTGCAGACCAAAGGGTCCTGGGTTTGATTCTGGTCAAGGGCAGGTACCTTGTTACTCGGTTGCAGACTCCTCCCCTCCCTGGGCCCTGGTCAGGGCGCATGCAGAAGGCAACCAGTCGATGTTTCTCTGTCTTTCCCTCTCTCTTCCACTCTCTAAAAATCAATGGAAACATACCTTCAGGTGAGGATTAAAAATAAAAAAAATACTGTGTCCTTTTCTAGATCCAGAGTCTGTAGGAGGCAATTTCAGAAAAAGGGCACTCATCTCCCTTTTCTGTATTACTTTTTCCACGCTATTTACAATGGCAATATGGTTCTCCCCTCAAGTATTAAAATGGAATATGGAATACTTCCTTTATTAGAAATCTTCCTAAATGGGAATTCGTACTGAATATGGTTGATGATAAGTCCTTAAATACTCAATTTTTAAAGGATATATACATATATTAATTCAGAGAAACTTCTATAATTAATGGATTTTTTTTAATATATCTTTTTTATTTATTTTAGAGAGGAATGAGAGGGAGAGAGATGGAAACATCAATGATGAGAGTCATTGATCAGCTGCCTCCTATATGCCCCACACTGAAAATTGAGCCCGCAACCCAAGCATGTCCCCCAACCAGGAATCAAACCATAACCTCCTGGTTCATAGGTCAGTGCTCAACCACTGAGCCACCACAGCCAGGCCAATTAATGTAATTTCTAACAAAGCATCAAAGAACTGCAAAACTTTGGACTTATGGTTTTGGTAGAAGTGGTCACCACAAAATATTTAAGGGCAACAAGTCAGATTTTAAGAGTTCCTGGCTGCTTGTTCCTCTATAGTTTCCAGTGGTAATAACCCACTTTCCAACTTCTGACCTAAAAAGCACCCATTTTAGAATCTGGGAGGATGCATAAGCAAGATCTCTTTATTACATTCATTCGCAGACATTTATTGAGCACCATGTCAGGTACAGAAATGCAGTGGTACACAAGACAGATACAGTCTCGGCTCATGAAATTTATATTCTAGTAATATGGAGACAGAAATAAATAAAACGAGCAAGTTAGTTTTGGATTGTGATAAATGCATGCTAATAACCTAAAGGAATGCAATGGGGTAGGATGGAGGTGGGTAGGGAACAGGCAGCAACTTTAGATAGGGTAATTAGGGTAGGCCTCCAGGGAGCTAAAAATTGAAAGATGAGAAGGAGCCCATATAAATGTCTGAGAGAAGAATGTTCTAAGCAGAGCCAGACAAGTGAAAAGGTAGCAGTGAGTGTTTCTGATCATGGTATGAGATAAGACTAAAGAGGTAGAGGGGATTAGGGCATTCAGGACCCCATGGGCTATGGAAGGAAGTTTGGAGACTTTTAAGGAAAGAGAGGAAATGATCTGATATAAAGTTTTTACATTACTCCCAGCTGCTGTTTGAAGAATAAAGTTTAAGAGGACTAGTGCAGCCCTAGCTGGTTTGGCTCAGTGGATAGGGCGTCGACCTGTGAACTGAAAGGTCCCAGGTTCAATTCCGGTCAAGGGCATCTACCTTGGTTGCGGCCACATCCCCAGTAGGGAGTGTGCAAGAGGCAGCTGATCGATGTTTCTCTCCCATTCATGTTTCTAACTCTCTATCCCTCACCCTTCCTCTCTGTAAAAAATCAATAAAATATATTTAAAAAAAAAAAAAGAGGACTAGTGCAAAAGCAAAAACTGGAGGAAGCCAGGTTGTTTTGACTAAGACAGTGGCCATAGAGATAGAAATGAAGAGATATAGGACATACTAAATTACAACTAGTAGAATTTGCTGATGATTTGAATGTGGGAATGAGGGACAGAGAAGAATCAAAGATAGCTCCTGAGTTTTGGGCTAAGTGATGATTGGATGATAGTGTCAGTTACTGAGGTGAAAGTCTGTGGGGAAGAAAAGATGGAGCAAGGAAAGTCATTTACTCTTTGAGGGACTGAGGAGGACAGGCATGATCCTGAAAGATTTTCAAAAGGAGCCAAGCAGGCAGCTTTTGGAAAACCACAGATCATTTGGTATAATGTTCCCAGGTAAGATTGTGGTATGAGTCATTAAAGAGGTGGCTTGTGCTCCAAGAAGAACAAGCAGGAAATTCCAAGATCTGGATCTCAGAAAAATTGCATTTTCTTCCTCAACGGGGTTATTATGAACTAGACTGGTCCCTCTGGAAAGTATGGTAGATGTCAATTGGGGCCCCTTTGCAACCTTTTCCAAGGGCTCTCATGCTGTCCTTGGGATAAGATGGACAGTATGGACTTGATACAAAGACTTTGGTTGAATTACAACTGGTTGAAGAGTATATCCAGAACGTGTGGTAGAATGTTTACTAGGCATTCCTGAGAGCTTTGTCTTTGGCTAGGTCCTCTTTCAATCTTCTATCTGTGTCTTTTTTTTTTTTAATCTTTATTGTTCAGATTATTACAGATGTCCCTCTTTTTTCTCCCCATAGCTCCCCTCCACCCGGTTCCCACCCCACCCCAGGCCCTCGCCACCCCACTGTCTGCATCCATAGGTACTGCATACATGCATATAAGATCTTTGTCTCATCTCTTCCCGCACCCCCCCATATCGCCTTCCCCCCGAAAATTGTCAGTCCGCTCCATTTCCATGCCCCTGATTCTATTACCAGTTTATTCTGTTTATCAGATTTTTTTATTCATTTGATTTTTAGATTCACTTGTTGATAGATATGTAATTGTTGTCACTTTGTTGTTCATAATTTTTTATCTTTACCTTTTTCTTCTTCTTCCTCTTCTTAAAGAATACCCTTCAACATTTCATATAATACTGGTTTGGTGGTGATGAACTCCTTTAGCTTTTTCTTGTCTGTGAAGCTCTTTTTCTGACCTTCAGTTCAAATAGGTTTTCAATATCTTGCTCTCTTTCTTCTTCTGGCACCCCCATAATATGGATGTTGGTTCGCTTGAAGTTGTCCCAGAGGCTCCTTACACTATCTTCATATTTTTGGATTCTTTTTTCTTTTTGCTCTTCCAGTTGGGTGCTCTTTGCTTCCTTGTATTTCAGATCTTTGACTTGATTCTTGGGATCCTCTACTCTACTGTTAAATCTCTGTATATTATTCTTTATTTCAGTCAGTGTATGCTTAATTTCTGACTGGTCCTTTTCCATTTTTTTGGCATTCTCACTAAGATCCTTGAAGGTCTCACTAAGTTCTTCGGAGGTTTCTAGAAGATTCTTGAGTAACCTATAACTGTAGTCTTGAACTCTATATTCAGTAGTTTGCTTTCTTCCATTTCTTTCATTTGTGACACGTTTCTTTGTCTCTGCATTTTAGCTGCTTCCCTGCGTTTGTTTCTATGTATTGGGTAGCTGCTAAGTCTCCTTGAATTGATAGAGTGGCCTTGTGTAGTAGGTGTCCTATAGGGCCCAGTGGCTCAGCCTCCCCAATCACCTGAGGTGGACACTCGTTAGTGCACCCTTTTGTGGACTGTGTGCACAGTCTTGTTGTAGTTGAGCCTTGATTGCTGTTGGTATCACTGGGAGGAATTGACCTCCAGGCCAATTGGCTGGGAGGACCAGCTGTGTCTACAATGGAAGAGCTGCTGTGCAGGAGACACCCCTGTGGGGCAGGACTTGCTTCAGTGGGGCTTTGGTGCTCACTGAGTCTGCCCCTTGAGTGTGTCACTTATGGATGTGAAGAGTTGTAATCTGGATGGTCTCACACTGACCACTGGGTACACTGGCTCTTGGATCTCCAAGGAGGTGCAAAGTCAGCCACTGCCTGGGGCCACCCAGCAGAAACTAAAGAGAGATCTGCAGATTCCTCCTCTTTGTATGGGGTTTGGAAGTGCCCAGATGAGGCCCAGCTGTGAAGCAAGGCAGGCTGCTGCTGCTGCCGGGCCTTGGGCCTTCTTTTGGAAGCTTTGGGGCTCCCTGACCCAGATGTAGTTTGACAGGTTTTAGACTGAGAAAGGACCAGCCATTCATATGCAAAAGCCTCTGCACACAGCTTTGGTAGGGTTGTAAATTGGATGGGTCGGGGCAAACAGCAATGGCTGCCAGTCAGCCCTGCACCGGGGAGGTCTCAGCTCAGGAACAATGACCGTTGTGAGCACCTCTGTCTGGAAGAAAGCTGCCCCTGCATTTCTGCCCCGATGCCAGACAGTCCAGTTTCTCCCCATATGTGTCTGGGTCCCCCAAAGTCTCGCCCGGCACTGGAGCTCAGAGCTAGCTGTAGCTTGTATCTCCCTCCCGATTAAAAAAGCGGCACACTAGGTGCCAGCCTGTCAGTGCCTCCTTGCCTCCGCACCTCCTACCAGTCTCAATGCACTTTCTTCTTTACCAGTAATTCTCTATATGTAGTACTTCCACTCAGCCAGCTTTCCCGCGGTTCTGGATGATAGTTGTTCTGTATTTTAGTTGTAATTTTGATATGCTTGTGGGAGGCAGCAAGTACAGGTGTTTACCTATGCCACCATCTTGGTTCTCTCTCTTCTATCTGTGTCTTGAATGACAGTACATAGGCATCATATTCGTTTGGTGAGAGGAATATTGAGTTTATCAGATGGCGGATTAAAAATTCATAAAGGTCTTGACAAGCTCCTGTGATAGGTTGAACTAACAAGATGAAGTTTAATAGGAATTAATGTAAGGTCCTTCACGTGAATCCAGATTTACCAACTAGTCAAGTATAGGACAGAAGAGATGTGACTTTGCATGCAATTCTTGGGGGAGGGTCAGACCAAGAAATTTAATCATTCCTAAGCCTGAGGGTACATTGTGTGATAGATCTGCTATGAAAGCTGATGCAGTTTATCCAGTGATGATATTTAGAACTTGGAAAGTGATACTTGAATTCGACTGTGTAATAGAAATTAAGTTTATTTTTCTTATTATGGCATCCAGGAATAAAAATATACCATTAAGATAGCAAAGAGACTCAAACCTACACCATGAGAGTTAGGTTGAAGTAACTGGTAACATAGGGCCAACAAAAGAAAAGACTTGACAGGCACTGTAGCTGTCATGTGGGAGGGGAATTGGAGATTTTCTGATAGTGCCCATGGCAGAGCTAGGGCCAATGGATGGAATTTATAATGAGAAAGATGCCAAGTCTGAGCCATTAAAAATTGGACAGACTGTCTTGTATAGAGGCTGTAGTTCTTGGCAGTGTTTAAGACTAGTTGATGAGGGTGTATAGAAAGAATTTCTCCATCTTAAGACTTTTCAGAGCCCTACCAACCCTGACATTCCATGAGTAAATGCATTCAGCTGTCTCTTCTTGTCACAGCTTCTTGCCTTTTTCTACCTGGTGGCTCCCATGGCAGCTGAAGGAGGATGGCTGATGAGCTGTGTGGGTTTCATGGGAGTCTGGTTTCATGTCAGGACATGTGTGCACCACTGGTCGACAAGATTGTCAAAAGGACCTTCCTTTTCAGTTCAATGGCTGATGGTGTCTCTTATATTGTTGTTGTCTTCCTAGGTGACTTTAGGCCGAGGATTTGGTGTCACATACCAACTGGTATCAAAACTCTGCCCTCTGATGATTTCCCGAAACCACTGTGTTTTGAAGCAGAACACGGAGGGCCAGTGGACAATTATGGACAACAAGGTAACAGGAATCCATAGATGCCTAATGACTTTCATTGGCTTTTTGTTCATTTTTAAATTGCTTTTTTTTTTTTGTACAGGTAATACATGGTATAAAATTTAAAGATACAAAAATATATTATCTCCCCTAACCACCCAGTTGTCTTCCCCAGAGACAACCACTTCTATATGCTACCAGAGATTAGATTATGTCAAAGTAATTTTTAAGGACTTGAAGTTAGTTACTCTGAAAGGAACACCTGAATTTCGGCAGTAGGTTTGCTCCAGAAACTAGACGAAGTTATTGAGGGAATTGGCCCTTTGTCACTTGAAGGGAATCTAGTGAAGATTCTGGAGTGTACCTGTATTCAGGGCATGGGGAGGAGGGCAGAGCTGAGCTTACTACACCCAGCTCCTTCCTCTCCCCACACCTTTCCATCAGAGCAAACTGTCTCCCTCCTTTTTAAACCTGTTTTATGCATTAGTGTTCTGAGGAAGATTTCCTTTGAATAAAGGGTTTTTCTGCTTTAAATTTTTGAAAAGTGTGAATTCTAAGGGAGGTGACGTATGTATAAAGCTCAAAAATTAGAAATACCTAAAATACAGATACATAAGCACTTAGGAATACAGTGAAAGTAAAGACTATGAGGTGAGAGAAATTTTAATGTAGACAGTAAGGATTAAGAAGTATAAAATATCTTTAGACCATTTTACACTCCTCTGGTTAGAAGGATTTTAAAGATAACTGTTAGAAGGAAGCATATTAAAATGGTTCTGAATCCCTAGCTGGTTTGGCTCAGTGAATTAAAGCATCGTCCTATGGACTGAAGGGTCCCAAGTTCGATTCTGGTCAAGGGCATGTATCAGTTGCAGTTCGATTCCTGGGTCTGGTTGGGCACTTGCAGGAGGCAACCAACTGACGTGTCTCTCTCACATCGATGTCTCTCTCTCTCTGTCTCTCCCCCTCCCTTCCACTCTTTAAAAATCAATGGGAAAGAATTCCTGGGTGAGGATTAACAAAAATTAGATGAATTAAATGGTTCTGAAATGAATTCTTACATGTGGAGAGGATTATCCCCACACCATCAAGCAATGCTGGGGACACCAGCTGGATGTCCTACAATTCTGACACTATCTACCTGAGGATGGCATCAGATCCCACAGGTAAAGGGCTCAGCTCTACAAGACCATCTTCCACTTTGGATTCCAATTGAGAGCCCAGCTTCTGATCAGCTAGATATAGATTGGAGGTTCCAAGGACCCCTTCCTTGGACTTCAGATACCAGTTGCAAGTCCAGGTTGTTACTTGTAATTCTGACCAACTGGCTATAAATCAGAAGTTCCGAAGACCTCCTTCCCCTATGGACTCAATTAATTAGCTAGAGCGACTCACAGAAACATTTATTTATATTTACCAGTTTATTATAAAAGGACTAGAGGCCTGGTGCATGAAATTTGTGCATGGGTAGGATCCCTAGGCCTGGCAGGCAATCAGGGCCGATCAGGTCCCTGCCTCCCCACCTCCTCGCCTCCTCCTTCCCTCACTCCCTCAGCGCCCTGCCACCGCCGCTGGTTGCCCACCATGTTCCGTGCCGCCCCCTGATGGTAAGCACACATCATAGCGAGCAATTGAGCTCCCGGTCGAACTCCCGAGGGGACACTTTGCATATTAGCCTTTTATATATACAGATAGGAGGGTTTCCTGTTAAGGTGGTACGTAAGTAGGCACAGTACCTATATCCTTCCACAACCACATCAAAATTACAACTAAACTACAGAACAACCATCATTCAGAACTACCTGAAATCTAGCTGAATGAGAGTCCTACAACTAAAGATAGAAAAAGCCACATCCAACTGTGGGACTGGCTGGTCCCATAACTGTGTGTGGTAGATAAAAATCAGGAGGGGTATCTCAGCCGCAGAAGTCTCCCCTGAGGAGTAAGGGGTCCCACCCCCATACCATGCCCTTAGTTCAGGATTCCAGTACCAGGAAGAGAAGTCCCCACAACTTCTGGCTGTAAAAACCAGCAGGCATTGTGACTAAGTGACTTGGAGGTTGCTGGAGTCCCAGGCAGCTCCGCTTAAAGGGACTGTGCATGAATTTACTCAGACTCACTCGCTCTGAGCTCCAGTGCTGGGGCAGCAGCTTGAAAGGCACCAGGGACATACAGGGAGGAACTGAACTGTCATCAGGGCAAGAGCTAGAAGGGCAGCTTTCTCCCAGACAGAAGTGCTGGCAGAGGCCTTTGTTCCTTTTCTGTGCTCTACCCCAACAGAGCTATAGCTGAGTCTCCATCAGCTCACTGTCACTGCTTCCCGTCTTCCCCATCCTGTGATTCCCTGAGACCCTGCCCCACCACCCAAGCTCTTTCCAATGGCTTTTCTGTACGAATGGCCTGTCTTGGCTCATGCTTATGTTCATAGCTTGACCTCTCCTGGGCACCTCCAAGCCCAGCACAAGTAGCAGCCATCTGAAGATCTCTGTAGCTCATGCTGGTTGGCCCCTGACCTTGGCCTGCACCTCCCAGGAAGCCCCAGAGCCAGCGTACCCAGTGGACAACCTCAGATCACCTCAAAGTACCTCCACAACAGCATACTGAAGGGGTGGACTCAGTGAGCACCAGAGCCCTGCTGAAATAAGTCCTGCTCTGAAGGGTAGGCCTCTGCACAGCTGATCCGTAGTGGTGGTCACAGCCAGTCCTTCCAGTCTATCAGCCTGGAGGTAAATCCCTCTCGTTGATGTGCCAACAGCAATCAAGGCTTAACTACAACAGGAGGATGTACACAGCCCACACGGGTGCACCTGGAGTGCCCAGCTTGTGTGAACAGGGAAGCTGTACCACTGGTTCCTATAGGACACTTATTACATTAGGCCTCTCTACCAAGCCTGGGAGACATAGCACCTCTACCTAATTCATAGAAACAAACACAGGGTGACTGCCAAAATGAGGAAACAAAATTTGTTCCAAGTGAAAAAAACAGAACAGAACTCCAGAAAAAGTACTAAACAAAATGGAGACAAGCAATCTCTTAGATGCAGAGTTCAAAACACTGGTTATAGGGATGCTCAATGAGCTTAGGGGAAGAGTAGAGGAACTTAAAGAGAACTTCAACAACATAAAAAAAGGACATAGAAACCATAAAAAGAGCAGTCATAAGTGAAGGATACAGTATTATAGAGATAGTTGTCTGCTGCTGCTTTCCTTGATTATGTACCACACAGATGAGTTCCATTGATGGGATAGCAGATTTTGAGGGGTTGGGAAGCCACCAGCTGACTGATTTTAATGTTCCTTGAACATTTGGGCTATTTCCCTGTTCCCTGTGACTAAATATACTGTCACAGGGTATATATAAGTGGAACTTTAATAAATAATGCCAAATAATTTTCCAAAATAGTTGTACCAACTTACACTTCTACCCAGACAACTTTTGCTCCACACCCTTGCCAATCAATACCTGGCACATTCAGTATTAATTTTAGCCGCTCTGGTGGGTGTGTAGTGCTAGTCCATCCTGGTTTTAATTTGCATTTCCCTGATCAAGCTCAGAGTGGAAGATATTTGCTACACTGATGAAGGACTTATAATTGGATATTTACAAGACTCCAAATCGTTAAGAAAAAGAAAGATAACCCAGTTTTTTAAATGGACAGGAGCCAGGCACTTAACAAAATATTGTATCCAAATGTTCAACATCCATCAAAAGTTGTTGAGCCTCGCCCTAACCAGTTTGGCTCAGTGAACAGAGCATCGATCGGCCTGCGAAGTGAAGGGTCCCAGGTTCGATTCCGGTCAAGGGCATGTTCCTTGTTTGTGGGCACATCCCCAGTAGGGGGTGTGCAAGAGGCAGCTGATCGATGTTTCTCTCTCATCGATGTTTCTTACTCTCTATCCCTCCCCCTTCCTCTGTAAAAAAAAAAATTGTTCAGCCTCATTCATGATCAGGGTGTGGAGCAAAAGTTGTCTGGGTAGAAGTGTAAGTTGGTACAACTATTTTGGAAAATTATTTGGCATTATTTATTAAAGTTCCACTTATATATACCCTGTGACAGTATATTTAGTCACAGGGAACAGGGAAATAGCCCAAATGTCCATCGACAGCATAATGGAGAAATAAACTATGGAATATTCTTACAATGAAACACTATACTGTAATGAATGTGAATGAACTGCTACTATATCCAACAACACAGATAAATCTTACAGACATAGAATGGAGTGAAAGAAGACAGACACCAAAGAATATATATTATGTAATGGCATTTATTTAATGTCAAAACCAGCAAAATTAATGTGTGATGTTACGCCAGTCTAGTAGTCACCTGATGGGGGTAGGAGGAGACTTAGTGACTAGAGAAGGCAAAAGGAGGATTCTGGGATGCTGATAAATGTGGGTTAGGGTATTTTTGTTTGTTTTTTAACTTTGTGGTAGTTACTCTGAGATGTTCACATTGTGGTTAGTCATCTAGTTGTACATTTCTTATTTGTGCACTTTTATGGTTGTTATGTTTCAGTGAAGCATTAGAAATATTGACGGATACGTACCAATTAGAATTGCTGAAATAAAACAATACCAAGTGCTGGTGAACATGGAATCGAAAGCATTGCATGTGTGAATACAAAATGGTACTGTCACTTTGAAAAATAGTCTGGCAGTTTCCTGCAGCTAAACATACACTTACCAGTGATTCTGTTTCTTGGTATTTACCCTAAATTAATGAAAACTTAATGTTCTCAAAGAAACTTGTGTGTGATGTGTGTGAGTGTTTGTAGTAGCTTTGTTTAATTATCAAAAACGGGGAAAACAACTACGGAATGGATAAACAAACTTGTACACCCATGTCTGGAATACTAGTCAGCAATAAAAAATACCCAACTATTGTTAATGCAACAACATTGGCAAGTCTCAAAGTCATTGTGCTAAGTGAAAGAAGCCAGACTCAAAAAGGATACAAACAGTGTGATTCCATTTATACAACATTCTGGAAAAGGTAGGGCAGAAAACAGATGAGTAGTTGAATAGGAGTTGGGGAGGGGTCGCCTGGAAAGGGGCATTATGACTTGACCCAATTATAGACTATATGTATTTGTATATAAACCTGATGCCTGGTTCTAGCCTCAGACTGTTAACCTAGTCTGAGGGTGAGACTCAGGTATTGCTATTTGTTTCAAATATTTCCAGGTGATTTCACTGAATAGTCAGGGTTGAGAATCACTGAGCTACGTAAATCATCTGGAAAACTCCAAGAGAACATTGCCTTTTGACTTTGGGTTTCACTCTCCAACAACTGACTAAAAACGCTGGGCAGAGGTTGAGTATCAGGTGAAGTGATTATTGTATAGGGGTGTGTGCTATCCCACCTTTTCCCACTGATGGCAAAGAGACATTAGGCAGGCTTTTGTTGTTGTTGTTATCACTTTGCTGCTACTGACATTGTTCAAACTGGTGATTATGAAAACCTACATTAAGAAAGGCTTGGCCCTAGCCGGTTTGGCTCAGTGGATAGAGCGTCGGCCTGCGGACTGAAAGGTCTCAGGTTCGATTCGACCAAGGGCACATGCCCGGGTTGCGGGCTTGGTCCCCTGTGGGGACCATGCAGAGGGAAGCCGATCAATGATTCTCTCTCATCATTGATGTTTCTATCTCTTCCTCCCTCTCCCTTCCTCTTAGATCAATAAAGAAATATATTTATAAAAAAAGGAAGAAAGGCTTGAACAGAGTTATTTTATTTAAACCATTGTATTTGAGATTATATTCTGGGCAGTATTGATTGCTCTTATATAGCCATGGTATTTTCATCCTTTCTGTAGTCACCTTGTGAACAGACCTGAGTCAGGGCTGTGGTCCCAATTATACCACTAGGTGTCACCAGGAAGTGATGAATGGGTAAACATAGAAGGATCTGAGGATAAAATGTGATGGGGAAATATGAGAGCTTATTTTCCAGGCCTAAAGGGCTCTGAAGGAGGCAATTTAATGCCGAGGATCTAGTGGAAGGCTGCAATATGTCTTGAAAGTTTTCCCCAGCTTTTTAGGGACTCCCTGTTCTCTCTAGTTTGGGGCTGCTTCTGTGACCTTCATTCTTTATTTAATCTTATCTTTGCCTTTGAGGTTTTTCTTAAATGTCTATACCTTGACATTAGGTAGCCTTCTGTGTCACACTACTTTTCCTGAAACCTTTTTCCTAAATATAATCTATTTTGATATAAAACTTTTTTAATTTAAATTATTTATTGTTGAAAGTATTACGTATGTCTCCTTTTTCCCCCATTGACCTCTCCCCAGCCACTCCCACCCTCCGGATATAAAGCTTTTAAAATAAATTCTTCTACCTCCATCCCTCTCCTGTGTTATTTTCTCATGTGTTGTCAGCAGAACTCATCAGTCCTCATTCAGAGTTTCTCAGGCTGAATATGAATAGAAAGGTTGGGAGAAATTTAGCCAGATAAGCCAGGTTAGACCCAAGGCAGCGGGTGAAAGCCGGTCTTTCTGTATATATGTATCTATAGCTGTGCTCTGCTTTCTCTCCCTCTTTCTGCTTGAGCCAAATGATATAAAGCCAGAAATAGGGCCTAATACCAGAACAGAGCTGAGATCCGATCTCTATTGCCTTTCATCTTCTGTACCTTGTGGTCAAGCCCCCACCTCTCATATTTGGGTTAAACAGGTAATTGTTGTAGCTAAAAGTAGGTAGCTGTAGTTACCAGCACAAACATAAATCTTAGTACCAATTCAGCTGTGAGCTTCATCTCTGGCCTGTCCCCCAAAGTTAAGTCCTTGATGTGGGTTAAAGTGCCCACTTGTTTCTTTAAACTCTAAATTCTTCATTCCCATTAGGCATCTCTTAGCTAACCCAGCTTCACATAATATCCCATGGCATTTATAGGCTGTGCTTTTATGTGCCCTTGTGTTTTGCTTTCTACTATCAGCTGCTAAACATTCTCATGTCTTCCAATTTTGCACTCCGTATATTTACCTTGCAAGATGCTGAGCATAGAATGGAAGTGATTGTTGATAAATCAAGCCAGATCATAGTAATAGTAGAGAGCACTTATATAATGCTTACCATGTGCCAGACACTTTTCTAAGTATATTACATATGTTATCTCATTAAATCCACACAAACACCATGAGGGAGAGACTATTATTATTTTCTGTTGTATAGATGTGGTAACTGAGGCTTAGAGAGGTTAAGAAACTTGCCCAAGTCCCACAGTTGTTAAGTGATGGAGCCAGATCACAAACTTAGGCATTCTGACTCCAGGGTCCATGCTCTTAACTCTGAACTCTGATTTAGTTATAACCATAAAGCATTTATATGTGAGTCACTGTGCTAAATGTTTTACATGTATTTTCTCATTTATTCCTCACAGGAATCATGTGAGGTAGGTACTATACCAGCCCTATATTACAGACAAAACTGTTGAAGTAAATTGCCAAAGGCCATGCAGCTGATAAGCCCAGTAGGTTAAGAGCCCAAATCTGTCTGAGTCCAGAGCTCCAGCTCTTCACCACTGTGCCCCTGGACCTCTCGTGCTATTAAGTGGGTCAGATCTCACCTGCGGTTTGACCCCAGGACAAGTGTTGGCACTTTTTTTTATTTATGTGTCCTGGAAAGTGCTCTGCTCACTCACCAGTGTGTTCAGGGGGCACATGCAGAGACGGCGCTTGCTGGGCTTTCCTGGTCACGACTTTCCTTTTGAGCTTTATCATTAGATGCCACTTTCTTTACTAATAGCCGATTTTTCAGTCCTGGGTCAATAGGAGCTATTACATTTCCGTTCCTTTCAATGCTACTGCATTTATTTGAGTAATTCATCCACCGGTATTAAGGGGATTCCCGCCTGTTACACAGGCCATTCTCTATGGAGGCATGAATGTGAAATACAGGTAAAAAGCCAGAGTGCTGTGTGAAGAATGCTGTTTCTAAGGACGGTGGTTTATGAACCTTTCTTTTCTATTTGTTCTCAAGGGTTTTCCTTCTGAAAAGGCTGAAGGTTTTGTAGCAGCAGGGGAGACATTCCATTAAGAGGAGGAAAATCGTGAAGCTTATTTTGTCTTTCTTTCCCTTTTCCCAGAGTCTGAATGGCGTTTGGCTGAACAGAGTACGTCTAGAGCCTTTAGAGGTCTATTCTCTCCACACGGGAGACCGCGTTCAGCTTGGGGTGCCTCTGGAAAATAAGGAGAGTGCAGAGTATGAATATGAAGTTACTGAAGAAGACTGGGAGAAGATGTGTCCATATCTTGCCCCAAAGAATGATCAGATATTGGGGAAAAACAAGGGCTTGAGAACTAAAAGGAAATGTAGTTTGGATGAATTAGAGGGTCCTGAAGCTGAAGGCCCCTCACACTTGAAATTCAAAATGAATAAAGTGTCTAGTGAACCTGGTCAGCCACTGAGGTCACGTGGGAAAGGTGAACTGGCCAGTGGACCCTCTGAACATTGGGAACCTCGGGTGACTTCTCTTGAGCCAAGTGAGAACGTCTCGGGGGCTCATGTTTTCTCTGGCCCCACCAAAGTCCTGGCGCTGCATCATCACAAGCGGAAAGCCTCAAACCTGTCAGTATCTCAGAGCCGCTTAGAGTTGTTCAAGGTGACCATGTCTCGGATTCTGAAGCTCAAAACACAGATGCAGGAAAAGCTTAGAGTTGTTCAAGGTGACCATGTCTCGGATTCTGAAGCTCAAAACACAGATGCAGGAAAAGCAAGTAGCTGTTCTGAATGAGAAAAAGCAGACCCAAAAAGGGGACTCAAAGAATATTGTGCAAATGGAGCAGGAACTGCAGGATTTACAGTCGCAGCTTTGTGCAGAGCAGGCCCAGCAGGAGGCCAGAGTGGAGCAGCTAGAGAAGACTTTCGAGGAAGAGCAGCAGTATCTCCAGGTACCACACAGGAGGGAAGGGCAAGAGTGCCTCTCAGGGTGGGCAGGCCTTTGTGAGCCTCTGGATCAGGGACCTAATGCTGAGCGCCAGGGACAGGAGATGGAACGGGAACAGAACCAGAGCTGGGTGCCAAGATGGGGTAAGGTGACTAGCAGAGCCAGCCCCAGGTTGTAACTGATGTCGGGATGTAAAGATGAGGCATTTCAGAACTGAGGTAAATTCAGGGGATTGGATGAAGGTCAAGATGCCACAAAACCACAGTCCGCTCCATTTAAACCAATAGTTGTCCTCATAAGTTTTGGGGGTTTTTTGATCTGTGATCAAAGCCAAGTCAGTCCCAAGGCAGGTATAGGCCAGCTGGTTACTCTGCCCTTGATGTACCTGTTAGCTTGTTAGCTTGTACCGAACCTAGGAAGTGGGAGGCAAAACATGCTTTCTCTCATCCTGAGCAGCCAGCGTGGGAGGAAACAGGTCCACCATGATGCAGTTGTTGGGTTGAGTGATAAGCCACCTTCCACAGTGCCTTTAGCAAGAAGGTCAAATAAAGACTCTCTCAGCTGTGTCAAGATAAGGCCAAATGTGTCATCCCCGAGTCATTTTCTGAGATGACAAGCTGTTGCAAAAGGCTTCTAGGCTAGAGCTGGTCCTTGCTCAAAAATCAGTTCCACAGGTTTATTCCCACCTACTTGCTCAGGTAATGTTAAATGTCAAGAATTCCCCACTGTTGACTAGAACTAAGACAGACCAGTGAGGATTGCTGTGAATATGCTTTTATCTTGTGTTTACTTTGTTCAGGGCAAGGAACAACCAGCAATGTTCTCTTATTTCTGAACAATTTATCAGTTTCATTCTAATCTCTTGTCCCCTGGAACTGGTAGATTAGCTGAGGCCATGGATTAACTACGTCTTTCCAGGGGACACACTGCTATGTGTACCTTTTTGCTTCCCTTTTGCAGCCTGGACTAAGTTCTTGAAATTGACAGAGCGAGGTTTATCTCTACACTAGAGGCCTGGTGCACGAATTCGTGCACGGGTAGGGTTCAGCCGGCCAGTCCCAATTGGGGCCGCCCCGTGGGAAGGAGCTGCAGGAGGTTGGCTGGCCAGCCCCGCCCCCATCGGGGTGGGGGTAGCCAGTAGGAGGGGCTGCAGGTTGACCGGCTGGCCCCACCCCAATCAGGGTGTGGGGGGCCGATTGGGGGCAGGGCTGGCCAGCCAACCTGTGGGAGGTTGGCCAGCTGGCCCCTCCCCCATTGGGCCGGTTGGCTGGCCGCAGTGCACGTCATAGCGACTGGTCATTCCAGTCGCTTAGCTTTTATATATATAGATATGTGCTATATGCCACCATTCCTGCAGCAGAACTCTCTTTAAGGGCTAATGTGTTCAGGAATGAGAGTGACTGTTAATATTTGTGGCTTCTCTGGGCATGCTTGAAGGAATAGCTGTAAAGTCTTTTTCCACACCAAAATGGTAAAGAAAGGCCAAAAGGACTGGTTAAGAAATTTTCTCAAGGTATGAGAAGCTCACATATAAATGGCTCATAGTACCTAGTCATTTATTTATTGGGTTGGATTTCCCTTTGTCACAAGCCCTAGGGATTTTTTCTACCCGACTACTTGTTCAGAAGTTTATTTAACCCTTCCTGCTTCACAGGTTTATTTGTTTTTTAAGCACCCATGTTGCCTGGTACTCTGCTTGGGTTCAAGTGGTTATAAAGATGCTTAATAAATGTGTCATACCTATAAAATATTTAAAACAGTTTTAAGTCAGTATATTTAAATTAGAGAATAATTTCAAGTTGGCATATTAGATGGATAGATAATTCTTTAAGGAGGGAATGGCCCAGAGGTTCTGAGGAATGTGCTGGTCATAGGGTAATGATGATGTGGCACCCTGTCCAGGGGGTGATGGAGGAAATACAGCCTAAGTTCAGGCAAGGGAGGAGGAGCCGTTCAAGGCTGGAAGTGGCAGAGACTCAGTGTGAGAGATGGAGGTGCCCAGAATCAAAGGGAGGAACCCATGAGTGCCGGCCTGGGGATGGTGCTTAGAGAGTTGGCAACTCAGAACCTTTCAGTTAACATCCTTTGGGGAGTCACCACATTTGTGGGAAATTAATCCAGAGTATTTTCTCCAGAACAGCCTGAGTGGTGGCTTACAAGTGACAGTCCTGAGGCGAGCAGTATTTAAGCAGTTAACTCTTCTTAGATTCCTTGCTGCCAACAGCTTGAGTAAAATGGGAAATTTTCCACCTGCTTCCTGCCCCCTGTTGCTTCCAGATGCTCATGCTAGCTGGTCTGCTCTGCTTGTTGCTGGATTTTGTTGCTTGTTTCCCTCTCTGCCGGGAAACCTTCCATTTGGTCTTTGGTTTTGCAGGGTTTGGAGAAAGAGCAAGGAGAAGAGGACCTGAAGCAACAGCTGGCCCAGGCTCTGCAGGAGGTAACTTAGCTCTTGCCATTGTGGGCTGTGGAGTGGGGGCAGCCAGGCTTCGCATGGCCACTGGCTGCCTCTGCTGCTTAGCGCACACCCTGCAGCACCTGCAGTCTAGGTAGAGCAGGTGACAGCTGCTCACACCATCGGGTCGGAGACTGGAGCCTCACAGACATGCCAGACCTCAGCATGGAAACTCATCTTCATCTGAGCAGAGGCTGCTCTGTGAAGACGGAATGGAGCCTGTAGCTCCGTTAGGAGGCTCTGGGGGAAGTGCTGCATCTCCAGGAAGGTGGGGGCAGCAGAGGGGAATCGTGAGCCATGCCTTAGCCACCACCAAGGCCTGCAAGGCCTCCATTCTGTCATGGATCCCAAGCTGAAGCTGTCCAGACCCCATTCGAGAATGTTCCAATTAAGCATTTTAGGTCAGGTTGAGAATGTGCAGTTTAATAGTCAGCAAAACATACTGATTTACTGAAAAGGCAGGGCTCACAGGAGCAAAATTCTCCTAAAAGATAGCTTGTAATTTATTTTATTTAACTTGACTACTTTTCTCATCTGCTTATTTTTATAAATTTTTTTTTGCATCTTTAAAACCTGCTTTGTCTTCTATCCTTTATGTGTTAAAATGAGTAGTTTGATGCAAGTTTAGTCGGGTTAGTGGATGGTTCGTCTCCTTGAGAAAAGTGAGTGATCGCATTAGAGTTTGTTTAGGATAATTGATCCTTACAGCTCTTTTATTGCACACCTACCTCCAACCTTCTTGCAGTGCTAACAGTCACATGCTATTAAAAGCTTGGGAGGTGCCTGCCTTGATTCCTTGAGAGATGCACAAACAGCTTTGGGAAGAACTAGGTGAAAATTCAATTTGTTTGGAATTTTATTTTCTAAGTTTGTTTATTTTCTAGGGTGAGAGGGTAGGCATGCTTCCCATGTAGAGCATTATTAAATTAATATTCATATACTGTTTTGAAATTGACTGGAAAAGAGTAAGGTTCTGCTGCTTGGAAATCCCTGAGGGATCACTGCATACTCCGCACCCACAACTCCTTACCCTCTCCTGAGACAGAGAGGAAAACACTGTCATTCAGCATGAGGTGCCGGGCCAGTCTCCACTCATTAGCCTCAAATGGGATACTTCTAGGTCATGGTTCTGCGCCAGCATGCCTGGGGACATAGCTCTCTCTCAACTGAAACATGTTGGTTCTTCTGAAACTGTTCTTTTTCATTTACCAGATCATTATAACAACTGGATTTACATAAAGTTTACAACTTTTCTGAATGCTTTCTTACCTGTTGTTTTATTACTACTACCAATATGGGAGAGGTACCGGTTTTCCCATTTTGTAGATGAGAGAGTTACAGCACATCTAATTAGTGGTCAAAATGAATGAATACCCAGGCCTTCTGAGGTAACTGCTTTTCTCAGGAGATCACACATTTTAAAGTTTCTTTCTTGAGTAATATCTTTTAGAAATACTTACCTTTACTCCACCTTCTTTTAAAAAAGGCTGTGAGGAACGATTTAAAGTGTAAGCTACAGTTAAGCACAGGGCGTTCAGAAATTAGGTTTCATGGAAGTGGAACCTCTTGGCACTCATCAGGCAGTTAGTCCCCATGAACAAGCTGTTAGCTCTTGGGCACGCCGGGTTCCAGAAAATGCGGGCAGGGTTTAGGCAGGACTGTCTTGTGCGGGAGTCGTGTGTGATATGTAGAGTAAGTAGGGTAAAGGCCTTTTTTATTTCAATGAAAATGAAATCCCCGAATCCCATTTCTCCCTGATTATTTCTTAAAAGCCCACTTCCAGTGCCGGGTAGCCTCAGCGTTACTTATTAGTTCCTGAGCGTTGGTTTTTAGAATCACTTGGGCGGCTTTTATAAAAACGCACATTCTGGGCCCCCAGCAACACCTCAGAATCAGACTCCCTGCAAGGCAGTTCCTCAGTTGATCTGGACGGCCACAGAGGCTGGGCTATTCCCAGAGGGATTAATAGGTTTCATGGCCTCCCTCCCTGTTTGCTCCCTTCCCCCCAAAAAGCAGCGGGTAAGTGTCCTGAAGGAACAAAGACATTAATTTGAAATTGCCAGTCCATTGATCCCTTGAACTAATGCCACTGACCAGGTGGAACCGGGGTGGCGGGGGGGTGGCTAAAAGGAGGGATGCAGTGGAGCTCGTCTTGAGTGTGTATCTGCTATGTTTCTGCAGCATCAGGCTCTAATGGAAGAGCTAAACCGCAGCAAGAAGGACTTTGAAGCAATCATTCAAGCCAAGAACAAAGAATTGGAGCAGACCAAGGTACTAGAAAGAAGATGAAGGTTTAGAATTTGGTTAGTACATGCAACTCAGCATTTTCAACCGTGCAAGGGTTGCTATGGTGAATGGTGAGAGAAGAGAGTATGTGGCTTTTCCCAGCCTCAGGGGAAATAATCTGTAAAATTACTCAGGCCTATAGAAGGTTCTGCCTGTAAGACAACATCTGTTTCCTCTCCTCATTCAGAAGCGAAATGCTACGGATAAGACACACTTGCTGCAGTCTAATCCATTGTCTAGGGTAGATGCTCCCTCAGTGTGTCCCACTGACACAGGCTAAGGGGTGCTGTAGTCAAAGTTAAAAGGAGTTCGTCCTCATGCATTTATGTAATTATTTCCCACATCAAATCAGTAGAACTCGTAAGTTAGGTGTTATTAACTCAAGTGCCCACCGAGGTCAGACTGGTAATGGAAGTGAGTAGTGTCCTGTGAGGACGAGGCGCACGGGAAAGGAGCCTTTGCCCCCACCTCCCCCCTAAGAGCAGCTCTGCTGCAGCCAGTTGTTGCCATCCAGAAATGCGAGCCCAGTGTTGTCAGATCTGAGTTTTCCACACAAGAGGGAAATCCAAATGTTCACATAAAATATCCCAATTTTCAAATATTGGCAACAAGTTCAGTTTTTTGTTTTGTTTTTTAATGGCCAAACTAAACCAATCTGTAGGCTGGATCCAGTCCTCAGGCCACCAGTTTGCAGCCTCTGACCCCGAATTACTGCCTGAGCCCGGCTGCATCTCACAGCTGCCCCTCCTCACAGACAGCCCTGGAGCAGAGCACAGACAGGAGACTCTCGTCACTTGGACTGATAGCCTTATCCTCTGTTAGTCACAGAGTACCTTCTTTCCCAGCCTCCGAGAAACCAACCATCTTTTTAAACCCAGCAATTCATAGTGTTTAGGGAACTTGACTCTAGTTAGAAATGGGCCCAGACCTTCTTCCCTGTCATAAGCAGTCTTGCTTTGATTAGAAGAGAAAATAAAAGATGAAAAATGAGCCTGGCCGGTATAACTCAGTGGTTGAGTGTCAACCTGTGAACCAAAAGGTCACGGTTCGATTCCCCGATTCCCATCAGGGCACACGCCCAGGTTAGGGGCTCCATCCCCAGTACGGGGTGTGCAGGAGGCAGTCGATTGATAATGTTTCTCTCTCGATGTTTCTATCTCCCTCCCCTTCCTCTCTCTGAAATCAGTAAAAAATATATATGTATATTTTTTTAAAAAAAGATGACAAATGAATCAATTATATGCCCTAAATATCACCTCCTCTCTCAGAGGCTCCTGATACTTTCTTTTTGGGGAATGAGGTGCTAACTTAAATAAATGACTGCTTCAAGGGCACACACCTAGGATGCTCCCTAAAAAGATTGTCCACAGCCGGTTGGTTGACATCTTGGGGAAAGCACAGGGAAACTGCACTGCAGGCCTTGCAGGAGTGGCCTGACACCCAGCCTCCAGGAAACATAGAGATCATCCCTATTTTATAGAAGAGGCAGCGATAAAGAGCACAAGGGACCTTATACATAATGCAAACCTCCTGCCTCTGTGGACTGTTCTTTATGTCTTCTGTTTTGTCCAGTGAGTTTTCAGTTTGGGGGGTAATTTTATATTATATCCCCTCTGACCTGCAGTTCACTATGGGATTCTGAATGTCTCCTTCTGGCCTTGGGTGTTGGTGGGGTTAGTATACTGCCTTCAGTTCTTCTCATTTGGTTAATTTAGGGAAGGAGACAGAAACTACAATACAAATACTGAAAAATCGGAGAGAGGAAAGAAAGGAAGACAGTACCCCCTATTAGAAACCAGTTCTGAGAAACAGTACCCCCTGGGAAATGCTTTATTCTCTGTGTTGCTCCGCCAGGATGAATTTTTAATTTAGAATCCTTCTGGATCCTCTTCCAGATGATTAGCCCTGCTCCCTGTCCTGTTTTGCATTCTCGTTGGTCCTCCCGAATGACGGTGGGGTTGGTTGTGTCTTTGCAGGAAGAGAAGGAGAAGGTGCAAGCACAGAAGGAGGAAGTTCTTAGCCACATGAATGACGTGCTGGAGAACGAGCTCCAGTGTATTATCTGTTCAGAATACTTCATTGAGGTAATTATGAGCAGTGGCTCCCGCGCGCCTGCCACTCTCCGACCCTGGGAGCTCAGCGGCACAGGCTGCTGCTGCTGGAGGGAAACATTGGGAAGAGCTTCTTCTGGCAGGAACTTCCTGTAGCTATCTGACTGCAAAGTGATGTCTAGAGGGGGCCACTTCTCATTTATTCTTGTAGTCTTCTTTAACTTTCCTGTCCCTTTTCCTGTTTCATTTGTTCTTGAGTATTTACTTGATATAATCAATATTTTTAGCTGCAAAACAGCCTTTCTCTCTGTTGTTGGGGAGAAAACAGAGCCACATGGCATTAGTTTTTGAAGAATCAGAATAAAGCTGCTCAATAAAGCTACTCCTCACCATGAATGGGCGCCGTACTGAGAGTGGGTGTGCAGCACAGCCTTTAAGCAGGGCGGTCATGTCATTGATGTGTGGGCACTGGGAATTCAGCACATGTGGGACATGTCTCGGGGACTCTGAGGCCTTATGAAAATGGAACAGCTCTCTCCTACGTTACCATTAGTTACCTGTCATATTTTTGCACAGACTCTTATTTTTGCAAATTGTACCATTTGTGACCAGTTCATCTTACGCCACAAGTTTAAATTCGAGTTGTTAAATGACAGTGCTTTTCAGCTTCCTTTACAGAGGAAGTCACATACTGGTCCTGCTTCCTTTTTTCTGGTGGTCTTTATGAGGTTGAGTCTACCAGCCTCCTAAAAACTCTCTCCTGAGCAGACCTGTTTCTTTTGCTCTGGATCCACTTTGACTTCAGGTCATCTATTTCCCCATAATTTCTAGTCATTTGATTTGGGTTTACAGACTCTACCAGAAGAACACAGGAAAGGGGGCTTGGAACAGGGGATGGGTTAGCCAACCTGGGGCTTCTGCACAGACAAACCAGACGGACATCATGGCCTGTGTTTTGTGTACTGCACATTGCCTGACCTTTTCTACTGGTCACCTCTTAAAGTCAGTGTTGGAAAGAGGCTTCTTTTTAATCAGGCAGGTTTTTAGTGCTGTTTATAAGAATGTACCTCCTATAGTAAACAGATTGTCTCCTACTTGGCTTTCGGGCCAACTTGGCATTTGAAACGTACATTATTTCTGTGTCATTTTCCACTGCCATCCTAAAAGCAGGATGAAGACTTTTGAGCCTCAGAAAAGTTGTGTCTTAGGGAACGTACATAAACAGGAGCAATGAGGATAATGCTTTATATTCTTGGGAATAAAAAGCACGGCGGAAATGGGACCACTGGTCTCAGCGAAACCCCTCAAATGACAGGGCCCCTCTGCTTCCTCCCTCTTCACAGGCTCATTCACTCAGGGTCAGGCACTGGCAGGGAGCCCATTACAGTTTTCCCATTTTCCCCTTTTTCTTCAGCCTTTTTTAGTTGCCTATACATGTATTTTACTTTTTTGGTTTCTTTTGAATAGAGAGGACTCCTCCTACCATCCTATATGCTGAATTTTCTGTATGTACTCCCCTTTCTATATTAAAATTGAGGTTCTAATTCCGCATTAGCAAGACACACATTTGTTTTCCATAAGAGAATTAGTGATGTGCTTGTACCAAACATTCACACGCTTACTAGTCCTTCCTGTGTCCAATGACGTTTGTTTGCAAGGTAGCTAACCCATGTTGGCAGTGGCCTAAGTTGGTGGAATAAGACAGACAAATCAGCCTCCTGGGGCCTGAGTCTATGAATTTAACTTTGAGAAAGAAAATAAATCATCTAACTTGAAGCTTAAAATTTCCCATCCTCTGCCCAGCCGGGGTTGCTCAGTGGTTGAGGTCGACCCATGCTCCAAGAGGTCACTGATTCAATGCCCTGTCGGGGCACATGCCCTGGTTGTGGGCTCAATTCCCAATAGAAGGCAGCCTATCGATGTTGGTGTCTCTCTCTCTCCCTCTCCCTTCCTTCCTCTATAAAATCAATAAAAACATTTTTTAAAAATTTTCCAGCCCCCCAAATGGTTCTGGTACCTTTTGTAAGCTCTCTAGAAAAGATTGTGATTGAAAATCCACTTGGTCTTGCTTAGCTTTGAGATCACACCCACCCTGGGAAAGTAAACCTGACAGTTCTGATGTGTGTGTTCACATTCCCATTGCAGGCTGTCACCTTGAACTGTGCCCACAGTTTCTGCTCCTATTGTATCAATGAATGGATGAAGAGGAAGGTAGAATGTCCCATTTGTCGGAAGGACATCAAGTCCAAAACCCCCTCCCTGGTTCTGGACAATTGCATTAGTAAAATGGTAGATAATCTGAGTTCGGAAGTAAAAGAACGACGAACTGACTTAATTAAGAGACGAAAAGGTGAGTGATTATGTACAAGAAGGTGAGTGCCCTCAATGAAGGACTTACAACTGGTTGGGGAAGAGAGTCAGATGAAGATGTGGGAGAAAAGTAAAAGGAGTTAAAGATAATGTGTGAGAGAGTTGAAGTAGCATTAACTCCCTTACTTGAGCAGCGGGAAAGGGGGAGGCTTAGTGTATGTGCCTTGGTTATAGGGGTAAAAGATGTGATTAGAAACACATGGTCAGTCAGTTTGCTGTTTTGATCACTAGATGGTGCTGTTGTTCAAGACAGTTTAGTTCTGTCCAGGTGTAAACCCTTGGTGGGTATACAGTCAATTATAAATTGGATGTGTACAAGTCAGAGATTCACAACTTGAATGCCTGAAGAAAACACATATACAGGTTCTCTCTGTGATAGTCACAGTTTAATTACACAAATTGGGCATATTGTTAAACCAGAGGCAGATAAGTTTAATCCTGCCATGTTATTGGGGGTGCTAATATGTTTACCAACAAGTCTCCCAGTTGGAGGGAATTTGGATAAAGGGAGTGGGGAAGTGGTGGGTGAATTTCCCTAACGAACCATGCTTCCATCGTGAACTCCTCTTATTTAACAATTGACCTCATCACCCCTGCTGCCTGCTCTGTGAGGGTTGCAGAGCTGCTCTGCTTAAGACTTGAACGGCCTTTGGCGAAAGGACATGTCCCAGGGCAGAGTACAAGGGACTTAATGGATGAGAAGGTTGGTTATTGTGCCGTGGTGAGTGCACAGAAGCGGGGCGGACTTGATTATCACTGAGTCCCTTTAATAATCAGTGTAGCACTGCCTTGTGAGAAAGCTGCAGAGCCAAAGTGCTGTGATAGCAATCGGCCGCACATAAAGGCCTATCAGAGAAGAGCCAGAAGCTTGCTGCCATTCCAGGTGCTTCCCACCACCTGGCCATGGTAATCCCTATTCACATGTGCCTTTGGATGTACCTTCCCCTAAGATCAGAGAAGCTGAAGGCTTAAAAGCCACACAGCTAGCAATAGGGTCTTCGTCCACTGCTTCCTTTCTCCCAGCCCTCCAGCAGGTAGCAGCCACTTTGAGTAGGGCCAGGAATCTGATGCTGATTTTCGAGCAGCTGTGGCATGAGACGCCCTCAGGTGGTCAGCTACAGCAGAGGCAGTCACAGGGCTGGGGTGCTGAACAGGAGTGTTGTTGAGCCTGTTACACTCAGGGAAGATATTCTGACCTGCGCCCCGTTTTAAGCCCCCAGAAACTGTTTTTTACCTCCCAGGAGCCATTGATTCTGGCAGAATCCCATTGTTCCTCCTCTGCACCTCCCTCCTTCCATAGCAGGCACAGGAACACTGTACTACGGGCCAGGATGCAATGGTCCCTGAGGCACTGTCTCAGCCGCTGCACTCACCATCTGTGGGGGAGGTGGAGAGGGACACAGGTAGCAGGGCACTAGAAACTGCGAGAAGAGGCACTCACGTCGGCCTGGGCAGGCAGAGTGTGGGCGAAGCTTCACGGAAGAAGTGCCTTTTGAATGAGTTAAAGGTCCCCTAAGGGGCAGCTTTCCAAGCAGAGGACTCAGCACAAGCAGAGCACAGAGGTTTGAGAAGCAGTGGCTTGTTCCTAGCAGTGCCCCTCATGTCCACACCAGGTAGAATGTCTTCATGGTGCCGAGCAGCGGGTCTCCTGGGGCATTGCGAGTGCCTTCTGTTCGCTTTCCTCTTTCCTTTCGGCGGGAGCAGTGACCTGGGCACCCCGCGCTGACCAGGCTCAGCCTTTGAGCTGAAGTGTGCTGGGCCTGTCGGGGCATGGGAGACACCCAATACTTTCTTCATCCAGCCCATTGACTAGGTTTCCTCTCGAACGTTCAGACTCGGTAGATGGCTTCATGCAGCACTGGAAAGGGAGAGAATACCCAACTCCCTTTTCTCTCCAAGGCTAAAGAGGGTATCTCTGCCTTTCTGGTAACACGTGGAGCTGCACCGAAAGCCGATCGGCCTCCCAGCCATGCGGGTTTCTGCAGTTATCACAGTGAGCGCAGCTTTGAGGTTTCCTCTAGAGACAGGCAGTTCTGAGGCCTGGTTAGGGAAACGCGCCAGAGCATCCGCAGCTCCACTGGTCTGCGGTGTGGGACTGAGCGAAAGTCTCATTTCAAATACCAGCCTTCCTAGCCAACAGAAAGCTGGTGTAATCCCCAGTGCATGGGAATTTTAAAAAGGACCAAACTTAGGCTCTGGGAGCTAGGGTTGGCAAGCCTGTCGTTGTCGGAGTGCTGACACTGGTGGGGCTCTTTTCCTCCTGCAGGGGTTGCTCTCAGCACAAGTTCAGAGAGGGAGACCCGCTTCTCTGGCCATATGGGGCTCATCCCACCTAGGCCTCCCTGGCTGTTGAAGTGTCCCATGGGAGGCGCAGTGCCTCTTGACTGACAAGCCATTGGTCCCTTGTAAACTCTAGGTGGCCAGATTATAGAGGAGAGAAGGAGAATGCTAGGGTGAAGAAAGGGTGCTCTGGGGCTGAGGCAGATCAGGAGCATCAGTAAGTGCTAGCGCATGAGTAATTGTAACTCACCAGGATGCTGACGGGAGGTTTGCCTGCAGGGAAGACGTTTACCCCCTATGGAGGCTCCCCTGTTATTCTGTCCCCCTTCGATGTTTGTTGCTTGACAAGAGTGTTAACATTCCCACTTTAGCTTTCCCCAGCAGTTTCTCTGGGTTGGGCTCAGAAAAGAAGAAAGCAAATTTTCTAGAAAGAAACCCTGTTGGTCCTTTAGGACAGTGATTTCCAGTCCAGGGGCTTTTTCAAACCACATTCCCCAGCTCCCTTGATACTGTAAGGCTAGTGAGAGCGCCATGGCCTTCAGGTGTGCTGAGGTGGGGAGAGAGGTTCATGAACCACAGCTTTCCGGAATCCAGAGGTTGAGGGTCTCTAGGAAGATCAGCCCAGGTCAGTCCTGGCCCGCTTCCTGTAGCTAGCTGAGGGTGGTCCTGGCACGGGACGCAAGAAACTGGCAGTCTCTGAAGAGAGTGCCTGCCTGCCCGCCTGGAAGGCTGTCCCTGATATTGCCATCGCCCTTTGCTGAGAGAGAGCCCAGTGAAGGCCTGTGTGGGGAATGGCAGAGTAATAGTGTCTGGCAAGTTGACTTCATCCAGAGAGAATACTTGTTGGCAAGGACTTTTAATCCACCCAGTCCTGCTCCTAGGGCAGTGATGGCGAACCTTTTGAGCTCGGCGTGTCAGCATTTTGAAAAACCCTAACTTAACTCTGGTGCCGTGTCACATATAGAAATTGTTTGATATTTGCAACCATAGTAAAACAAAGATTTATATTTTTGATATTTATTTTATATATTTAAATGCCATTTAACAAAGAAAAATCAACCAAAAAAATGAGTTCACGTGTCACCTCTGACACGCGTGTCATAGGTTCGCCATCACTGGTCTAAGGGACAGTACCTCTCAGCAAGGGTAGCATGGGGTGCATGCATCCAAATAGTGTATAACACTGGACTCTAAAAATTTATCTTTTACAAAATTATCATGGGATAGAAAATTGGCAGGCTTATTTCTAGAAGTTTTTTTTCTTTATAGTCCAAAACCACCCTCCATTTTTTGCCCTCCTTTTATATATATTTTTCTAAATTGAGGTTTTTTTTTTTTCTTCTCCGGAGATACATTTTTTTTGATTTTTAGAGAGAGAGGAACAGGGAGGGGTTGTTGAGAGGGAGAAGGCGAAGAGAGAGAGAGAGAGAGAGAGAGAGAGAGAGAGAGGAACATTGATCGGTTGCTTCTGTATGTGCCCTGACGGGGATTGAACCCACAACTAGGTCTGTGCCCTGATCAGAATCAAACCCGAAACCTTTTGGTATACAGGACGATGCTCCATCAAACTGAGCCACCCAGCCAGGGCTTTCTTCTTTTTCTTTTTTTTATTGTTGACACTAATCCAGATGTCCCCACATATTCCCCTCAGCCCCCCTCTACCCAGCCCCCGCACCCCCTTCCCTCTGGCCATA